AGGGGGGACGCCACACGGACTCTGGCGAGGGAACACGTGTGGCCCCGCCTACGACGATCCGGTGGGTGGTACGTACGCGTACGACAGTCAAAGGCCGTCTACTACGGACAATCACAACAACCATAGCCAAGAGAAAAAATCTCTTTGGACGGGATTCGAACCCTCGCAGCTCATGGCGACTGATTAGAGACGGAGACGAAACGTCTACCACTGCGGCCACCGCTGCTGCCTGAATTTTTAGTTTTTAGTAACTTTTATATATACGAGTATATGAACATATATTATATATATGTTCATATACATATATACACAGTGCTTTTCATAAAGAGTATTTTATTATAAACTCAAATATATTCACAACGATGGAAGATAGGTATAAGCTTTATTATACAAAAGTTACTAAAAACTTCGTGGAAAATCTATAAATTGAAAAAATGGGCGCTTCCATTTAAAAATCTAAAGCGTAACGCAATATCTTTTTTTGGATCACCCTGTATTGAAAGGCTATAGATGAAAAGACGTCCCCCTATAAATCAAAATTGACTTGTCCGAGCGTTTTTCCCAAAATGTACCAGGAGAATCACAACTAGAGGTGCGGCCTTTTCGTTGAGGCATCCTGTATATTCAAATTTTTTATTCATAAAACTTGCGAATTTCTAAAGCTGCAATACAATAGGAAACATATTTTTTAAATTATTTATACAAGAAATCTTGTCAAATTCTAAGATGTGTCTCCTCAAATGCTGTTCAAAAGTGAAAAAACTTTAATATTTAGGAGTCATAAAGCTTGTCATTTTTTCAATCCTTGTCCCTGTAAAAAGGATATTCCACCCACTTCCTAGATTGATCAGGAATCTGAATTAGTTTTTCGGAGATTTTTTATTGATATACGGGATACATGTATCGATAACGACTTGGATGAGCTCATACAGATAAGTAACTTACTTACTTCAACTAGTACGAACCCGTCGCACTTCACGTATTGGGCGTTAAGCTCACGCCGCGGTCCATAAATACCCGCTTAACGGCCTAGATGCATAACCAATTATTATGATACCTCATTTCGATTTCTGGGAGGATTTTTTTTTTAATTCAAAAATATTAAATGTTTCATGGTGTTTCTATGGAAATCGCTAGAAATACCTTCATACGTTAAAAGTTAAAACCTACGAAAATTATGCAACACATTGTGAGTGAATAATGAAATCGTTGGTGCATGAAACATTATAAGCCAATCCTCTTTCGATCTGGTCGTCAAACTTTACAGCCGTGGGATCAACGTGTTTAGTGTATACTACCTCATTTAATACTAGTAATTGTTCATCCAGTAGTGTATACTATACGCTCCATGCATGAGCAACGACGTATTAGAACAACTGAACAGTTTCAAATTCGCGCTTATTTTTTCTATGTTTGTGACTTACATCCCTAAAGTTTTAAAACCAAGTTTCAATACTGTAATATGAATAATTATATAAATCTGTGGATTATAGACTACTTTCCAAAGCCGACCGCCTACCCCCGTCCCTCTCCCCTTCCACTTACCGACATAAGCCTCTTTATGTCCAACGCCAATTAGCGGAAAAATATTGTGAGCACTTATTTCTGCCGGTCTGTCTGTCTCTAATCAGCTCAGAAAATTTGACACAAAGTTACTACTAAACAGAGGACGTAAAAGTTTTGTAGATTTTGAACGTCGTTCCAGTGGCGGCGGACCTAGTCCCAATAGCAATAAATATTTATTAAATATTTTTAAAAAATGTTTGATAAATATTTGTAGCGACAGATTTTTTAATATTTAATAAATATATTTCGTACAGATGTTTCTAGTAATAATAATAATATTTAGAAAATATATGAGGAAAGATTTTTAAATATCAATTTTATATTTTGATGAAATATCTAATATTTTTTGTAAATATGTATGGATTTTCAAGCATTAATCTGATACATATTTTTAGTGTAGGTAGAAAATTCTTCATTGGTTATTTTAGCAAAACCTGTAGAAATCCTTTTATAAAATTGGGTTTATGAAGAAAATTCATTCTAGATATAATGGTTTAATTTGCTAGAAAAATATTATCAAAAAAATATTCTAAGCCTTCTGCATCTTGCAAGTTCATTCCTCTGAAAAAAAAACTTACTAATTATGAAATATTATTGAATACATAAGCTGCTTTCCAGTGTATCTATTGGTGCTGAACATGGTGAGTTACTCCGAGTAGCTCAAGTCCGTCACTGAAAAGCAGCTCTTTAATGCAGCTAAAAGGACCCCACATGTTATGCCTATGATAGTTCGAGATTTGGTTAATTTTTAAGAAAATTTAGTATGTGATGTATTTTATCGGGAATAACTCTGTCACACTTCAAGGCTAGTTACTTATGCTCTTATAAATACCTTTTATACTCAACTGGCACAGATAAATTGAGCTTAGTAATTATCGCAAAACTTACCTTTTTCCACACAAAAAAACACTCAAATAATGTACCACTTAGAGGTACACCGGATACACGCTGTCACAGTCAAACACACAGGCAAAATGGAAGCCGGCAAGCGTGTCGGGTTAGGTCGGCTTGCCATTATGCCATTGGTTGATCGGTGTCAGGCGCACATGCGCCGAAGGCCAAACAATTCACGATGGAATCTGAAGGCGTCAAATTCGAAATCTGCTGTTTATGGGCACACTTTTTTTTGACTGACATATTTTGATTGAGTTATAAGTTGCAACGGTGGTTTAGTATTTATACAAAAAAGCCTCAATGGAGGGACATACCATATTTACATAAGGCGTGTTAGAGATTTGAAATTTGGCGACATTTATTTATTTATTTATTTAGCAACATCCAACAGCCATAGCCAATTACAGGATGGATAAACATGAAAATATAACAAATGCATGTTGTGGATGTATGTAGAGAAAGCTAAAACGCTGCAAAAAAAACCTCAAAACAGAACTGGGAGGAAAAAAAAGCGTTCTAGCTTTACCTACCCAGCACTCAACAATCACACCGGCAAGCATTAACGAAAATAAGCATTAATGTCTCCCAAAGTCGCACAAAACGAAAATATATCTAAAACGCTATTAACTGAATTATAATTACGGCACATTATATATATATATATATAGGGGAAAACTTAAGTATGTCAGTCCTAGGCCTGGCTAAGTAAAAAGTTAAACTAGTTCGTGACGCTAATCTAGGAATTAAGAAGTTAAGTTGTTCTAAGATGACACTGGAGTCAATAATGCCGTTGATGAGCTTGTGAATGAACTTAAGTGAATTCATTTTGCGTCTGCTCTCTAAATTATAGATTTTGTGTCTCGCCATCAACTCACTATGAGGAAAGCCATTAGCGGGATATATCCCGTCAGCTTTGTATGAGAGGTATTTTAAAAACTTTCTTTGAACGGACTCTAAGCGGTCAATATATATTTGATGATGAGGATACCATACCAGGGACGCATACTCAAGCTTAGATCTTACATAAGCATAGTACAGTATTTTCAGTGTAAAGGAGTTGTGGAAATCACCGATATTTATTACAATAAAACCATACACCTTTGATGCAGCCACAACAGCATTTTCAATGTGATAGGAGAAGGAAAGTTTTCTGTCAAATGTGACTCCCAAGTCATTAATTGTACTAGGTCTGTCAAGTTTCCTGTCACCAATACTATATTCATACATCATTACCCCTGTTTTTAAAGTAAACGACAAAACGTGACACTTAGCAGCATTCAAAACAAGTCTGTTTTCACGACACCAGTTGTCAACCCTTACAATGTTGCGTTGCAAGCGATGACAATCGTCAATGTTGGAGACTCTACAGAAAAGTTTCATATCGTCAGCATATATAAGAAAATCGACATCGATAACTTCAGAAATATCATTTATGAACATAATAAATAACAGAGGTCCCAAATTAGATCCTTGAGGAACACCGGACATTACAGGGTATTCGCTTGACTTATGTCCATTGCACATAACATATTGTTTCCTATGACATAAATAAGATCTGAAAAATAGCAACAATGCATCTGAAAGACCAAATCTAGATAACTTATTGAGTAGAATGTTATGGTCTAAACTATCAAACGCTTTAGAGAAATCAGTATATATTACATCCGTTTGAAGTTGTCTATCGATTGATTCACAAACATATTGAGTAAGATGTCATGAAACGTCATAATCCTACCATCTGGTGTAAAAGGACTGATGTCATCCCCATGTCTCAGAATATACAATGTGCAGTGTCAGTCCTATAAATATAATATGGACGATTATGTCTTTACACTTGCTTAGCCTCACCCGCTGCAAAAAAATCTATATTTTTATAGTGATCTCTTGATTATAGGTACATATGTAGGTACATGGGTATCTCAAAAGTGTTTATCTGTCAATGAAAAAATATGACATACATACATACATAAAAAATATTTATTGAATATTTTCTAAATGATGGAGTCTTAATTTTTCCATTGATTGAAAAGTTAATATTTGATGAATATTATAAAGTTCGCTTTAAGTAGCTAATAACTCATCACTAGAAACTAGAAACAAAATAAATGGTATTTGGCCTTCCATGATGTAATATTCTATCTGCATAACGGACTTGTTCACCGTTTACACCCTCCTCTCTCTCTAGCGTTGCGCAGTTCTTGAAGACGACAATATATTAAAGAATTATGCACAAAATATATCTGGAACTTGGTAGATGGATATTAATGAAGATTTGTATCATGGTACATTATTAAATTTTTTTGGGCTCAGAATTTCACATTGCCTTTTTTGAGTTTCATCATGTTGAATGTTAATACAAACAGTAAATCATCTCCAAGATACCTACAAAAAATAGACTCAAGTAGATTGACGTCATAGTGTCTACGTATAAATATGGGGTTGTCCAAAACGGATGCAGGAAAGTAAACGCATATTAAAACAAGAAAGATTGATATTCAAATCAAGTTGGGTACTTTATTTTGAAGGTTCATTTATACCATTTATGTATGAAAAATAATATCGCTCAAATGTTCACCACGACTGGATTTACAGACGTCCACGCGATGGTCGAAATTTTCAATGACATTTTGCAACATGGTCGGTTCTATGGCATTTATCTCGGCAATGATGTTGTTTTTGAGTTCTTGGAGGGTGGCTGGTTTGTTGACGTAGACTTTCCTTTTCAAATATCCCCATAAAAAGAAGTCCAAGGGAGTCAAATCGCACGATATTGGTGGCCATGGCACATTTCCTCTGCGCGAAATCACGCGATCACCGAAGGAGGACTGCAATCGATGGATATTGACGTTGGTTGTGTGGCATGTTGCACCGTCTTGTTGGAAATAAACATCGTCCATATCCATTCCTTCAAGTTGCGGCAAAAAATAGTCCTCTATCATCACGTGATGTCGCTCATAATTGACGGTAACGGCGTCCCCGGCAGCATTTTCGAAAATGTAAGGTCCGATGATGCCTTTTGACCACAATGCACACCATACAGTCACTTTTTGAGGATGCATCGGCTGCTCTCGATACTCACGGGGATTTTCGTTCGCCCAGATGCGGCAGTTTTGCTTGTTTACCGTCCCATTCAAAGTGAAATGCGCTTCGTCGCTGAACATGATTTTTGATGAAAAATTGGCATCAATTTGGCGGTGTTCAAGGAGCCAATCTGAGAACGTTCGGCGCGAAATATGGTCGGCCCGACGCAGCTCTTGCGTCAATTGGATCTTGTAGGCGTGTACAGTCAAATCCTTGTGGAGAATGCGGAGCAAACTGGTTCTCGAAATGCCCAATTCTTGGGATCGACGCGTTGTTGATTGTTTCGGATCGTCTCTCACACTCTCCTTCACAACAGCAATATTTTCCGGTGTGCGAACGCTCCTTGGCCGGCCAGAGCCTGGCAGATTTGCCACAGAACCTGTTGCCTCGAATTTACGCACCAGACGACCGATGGTTGTTTCGTTTGGGCGGTTGTTGCGTCCGAAATGTTCACGAAGCGCGCGAAACGTGTTTTTTATTTTTGCACCATTTTTGTATAATAACTTTGATGCGGTCTTCAATCGAATACGACTCCATAGCGATCAATGGTAAACATTCAACTAACAAAATGACATGTCGGTGACAGAAAACAAAGATGGCGTCTATGTCAAATTGACGTTTACTTTCCTGCGTCCCTATTGGACAACCCTTTATAAATCCTATCTTTGCGAAAAATATTGATGCCATAAAATTTTGATTTGACTATCTAATGTGATCGGATAGACCGATAGCCGATTGAGTGAGAATTGTTGCAGCTTTTGAGTCAAGTCTATTTTGTTATTTATCAAGGTTATCCCCGCTGTTTTTGTTTCAACTCTTGAGTGTGCAGACGTTCAATGATTTGACAGTTTCACTTGACAGAGCTAAATTTGTGTGGTGGCTCCCGCCCAATAATGGTATTTATTTGCTGATCACAGCATGGACCACTAGAACTCAAGCTCCATTCAAAATACCTTCTGTTTTTCTACTCAGCTTATAGTATGAGGAAAAGGTTGCAAAGTTCAATTTTTCATTGGACTTTAGCTGTGCGTCTTTACAAAACAGAAATGGTAAACGCTAGGACGCGATACGAATAGCCAGCAGCGAGGATGGCAGAGCCGCGTACGGGACAGTGTGCGAGTGCGAGCGTAGTGTCACAAGAATGGAATGGCATCTCGCAACGACCACAACCACTACTATACAGAACAAATACGGAATAGATTATAGGTGACTTCTGGCTCTAAATGAAGAATCCATCTAATATTCAACAACATCGATACACTCAAAGAAAACTCTCATTAAAGGTATGTTTCGAATATAACTGGTTGTTGCCATATGTTACGAAACATGTATCTGCAGCTTGTTTGAATGAAAACGCACATTAGCCGTCATATGCACAGGGTGGCCAACTAAGAATGCGATTTTGTATGTGGGTACCTGTCGATCGTAGAGGCTTGCGGCAAAGCAGGTTCTGGCTTAAACGGCCAAGAGAAAAATCTTAAAAATGTTCCAGTGAATTCCGCTACATACCTAGTAAAAAAATACCTGATCTTCAAAATCGAGGATAACTTGAACTTTTCTTGGGCTATAAATTTTATAATATTTGAAGTTCTGGTAGTTTCACATGTGGCCGCTAGAGGGATTCTTTTTATGAAAAAGTAGCTAAATTATGTCTACACAAGCTCGCGAAAACCGCATCTGGATATAACATAATAATAATAATAATAATAATAACGCCTTTATTCATATTTTGTACATGTGAGGGACAAAGATAGCGAAGTTTAGCTTGAGCTACTCTTACACTTAACTACCTTTGTCTGTACTTTAAGCACGATGTTGTGTGCAATTCCAAAAAAAAGAGAAAAAAAAATATATAAGAAAAACTAAGGAGTACAGAAAGGTTAAATAACTAATCAACTAAACTAAAGAACACTACAACTATATACACTATGTACACGTATGCCTAAACGGCTCAGAAAATCAGTTATATAAATATCAGGGAAGAGTGAGCATAAATTGCTTGATTTGCCTTCGAAAACGAGCAAAAGACATTTCCCTGTACTTTCTGGGCAAAGCATTGTAAAATACGGCAGCATTATACGAGAAACAACGCTTGAAGAGTGTCATAGAGTATGGAGGTATCCTGATCATAATACGGTCCCTGGTAATCCTGTCATGAATTTCTTGATTAAATATGATCTTTTCTCTCAGGTATGCAGGTCTTGACGCAGCTATCAACTTGTGCAAAAACACTAAGTATTTGCACCGCACATGTTTATCAATTCTCAGCCATTTCATTTGGCTGTATTTGTCACTAACATGGTCAAATCTCCTCAATCCATGAATAAAGCGAACGCAATTGTTTTGAATTATTTGAAGCCTGCTTTTCATCCGTTCATCAAGACATGGGTAATATAAAATATCACAATAACTGAGAATTGGCAACACAAGAGACTCACAAAGTTTTTTCCTCAGTTTAAAGTTCAGAAGGTGGCGATTGGCATATAACGCTCTCATTCTACCATACGTTTTTTTAGCTAAGGACATAACATGCTCCCTAAATCTCAATTTGCTATCTACTTCAACACCTAAAATTGTAGCTGAATTAGCAATCTGCAGCAGCGAGCCATCAAGGTTAACTTTAAATGTATTCTCCACGTCACTTCGTCGCTTCCGTCACTTCCGTCGCTTCCTTTTCACCTGAGCCGCCGATCGAACAACGGCTAGAAATTTCTTCTCAGTGGCACAAGGTTATATAGCACCATGTGCTAGATTTCTAGAATGTGTGTCCGTATAGGACAAAAATGATTGGGCCACCCCCTTTCTCTTTCCCTTTCACTTTGCCTAGCCTTGGCCAATATTTTCACCCATGCATGTACCTTGGCAGCGCCATCGCCTTTAACTTCGCCTACAACTGGTTGTGAAGCCACTATATGGAGGTCACCCCTCATAACTGGGACCTCCCCTTCAAGCCCCTGGCCATCCTGGCTTCAGTCGAGTAAAAATGGACCAGCGAAAGATAAGTCGATAGCGTTATAGCAGCGCCAAAGATGTAAAACTTATTTTGTTATTTTTGTAAAATTGTAATGTAATGAAAATGCCTTTTTTTTGTTAAATAAAATCTGTTAAATTTTTGTGTTCTGTTTGTTCTTCTATCCTCTAGCCATGCCATGGTCGACACACAGCTACACGCCTGTAGATGTCTTCATGCCACCGACTGAGCTACCGGAAGCTAATGGTAACCCCCTTTCTGTGATTGTGCAGAAAAGTTGGAATCTTCATTGCATTCCATCTTTTCTGGACTTTTTGCGGAAAGGAAGAGTTACATAAATTGGCGAGTGAATATCTTGTCAATAACAGAAAATTTATGCCAAAGAAAATTTTTACGGAAATCCCTTAAATTTTTATTTTTCTAAACTAATTTTTCTAGAATTTCTTTTTATTTTAAGTTTTGGCCCTAAAGAGGACCGATTTAAAAAAGGTTTTCAAAGCACCGGTATAAGTTTTGCCGTGTTTCCAGTGGCACATCTTCCAACAACAACGGTAATTGGTTGTCCAAAAAGTCAAGAAAGACATTGCGATTTAGAGATTGAAAACATGGCCCAATAAGTTTGCCTTCCAGTATTCCTCAACACATATTTAAAATCATGCCAACGCATTTAATTTTTTTGAGAAAATTAACCATTTCTGCCGGATTGTCGAAAAATTCCCCCTAGCGGCCATATGTGAAACTGACAAAACTTCAAATATTATAACATTTGTAGGCCAAGAATAGGTTTTTTCAACTAGCCCAAGTTTGCTAAAATTGACTCAGTTGTTTCAAAGATGCAGGGTGTTCTTTACGGAAACATTTGAATACCCCCAACCACTTTATTTTTAGATATACAGCAACAATTATGAAACAAACAAGGTTCAGATTATCCTCAAATTTGAAGATCAGGTATTTTTTTCTTAGGTTGATATAGCGGAATTCACAGAAACATCACTTTTTTAGATTCAAGATTGCAGTCAGGCCCCTTAGCGGCCATTTCAGAAATTGAACATATTTTCCAGGTTTTTCTCTTGGCTGTGTTTCTGCCGCAAGCCTGTACAATGGATAGATTCCCAGATTCAGTACCTCGCATTCTTTCATTTTTTCTAAGGGGGGGGGGGTGTAGAGGGCCATCCATCGACAAGAGAAATTTATGCGTCAAAGCGTTACTGCCTCCAAAATCCAAAAAGCGAGGAAGAGCATATTTTCTCAGGAAAACAAATCCTAAAGAGCCCCAAAATTGTAGTAAGAAATATTTCTTTATACTCCAACTACCACGAAGGCCTAAGGCCGAAACACCCATGAGATACCGTGGGGCTACGAGGGATGTCTTTTAAGTTTTGCATATGGAAATAAAACAACACGGTAGGTAGTTTTAAATGACTTTATTGTTTTTCGAAGTATTCTCCACGAAGATTAATACACATCTACATGCGCTCGAACCAATTTTCGAAGTACATTCCACTCTGCTCGTAGATCCAAAACGGCCTTTTTGAATGCGTCAACTGCTTCTTCTGATGACTGGAGCCTTTGACCACGCAGTCTGTTTTTAATTTTCGGGAAAGTAGAAAAATCGTTAGGACTTAGGTTGGGACTATATGGAGTGTCCAATAATTCCACGTTATCTTCCGTTAAATACTGCCTTATTTTTTGGGCTGTGTGCGAGCTTGCATTGTCTTGGTGGAGGATGATTCTTCTTTCGGGGTTGACTTTTCGAAGCTCGGTGATGACTTTTGGCAAACAAATGGTTGTATACCAATCCGCAGTAACAGTTCTTTGTTCATTAAGAGGAATTGTTTCAATATGACCCGCTTTTGACACAAATGTCGCGACCATCTTTTTCGAAACACTTCGAGAACGAATGACTTTTGTTGGCTTTTCTTCACCTTGGACGCCTCAATCTCGCGATATGTCACATGTCTATCTTCAATGATGAGTTTGCGCACAGCATCGACGTTTTCCTGGGTGACTGTCGTTTTTGGTGCACCCACCCTGGGATCGTCGCTAAGACTCACCCGTCCACGTTTGAATTCTCCATACCAACGGGAAATTGTCGACTGATGTGGCGCTTCGTTGCTGAAAACAGACAGTAACTCAGCAAGGCATTCTTGTTGCGATACTTGTCTCTGAAAGTTGTAATAAATTATGGCGCGAAAATGTTCTCGGTTGAGTTCCATTTTTCTAATGACTTGGTGACACTTAAAAATTCACTGTAGTGAGAACACTGCACGTATTGTTGTGAAACTTCGAATTTAAGTTTACTAAAGGGTGAGCTTAAGATTCAGTACTAACGTTCGATCCACGCGGCCTACTATGTTTCTATATGCAAAACTTAAAAGACATCTCTCGTATAGAGGGATACAGGGAAAAGGGGGAACAGGGAAAAGGGGGAACGCCACACGGACTCTGGCGAGGAACACGTGTACATGCAACATGCACACATTCTGGCGTTCGACAGTCAGAGACAATCACAACATCCATAGCCAAGAGAAAAATTTGTCGGCGACTGTTCAGGAGACCGAAGAGTCTACTACTGCGGCCACCGCTGTAAATATGCAAGTTTTAATAGTATGAGTTTGTCGAACTTGATCCGTTTATCTTTCTTGTTATGGGTAGCTAACTTTTTTCTCAGATGGGCCAACGTGTGCCGAACTCAGACTCAGACCTACGTGATGCCATTCTTTTGTGATGTACGTGCAATACGTTTACATAGAAATTAAGCATAAATCAAGATGTGATATGTTGAACATGAGTAGTTACTAACAAATTTCACTGGACTAGCAAATCGTATCGGTATCGTATCGAAAAACATTGTAAGAAGATTGTAAATGCCTCGATGGCCGCCAATCTTAGGTGTGGATGTGTACGCTATAATAGATGGGTGAGTGACAAACGAACGTCGGTTGAGTCTAAACAATCGAAACCACAAGCGTCAAGCGATTCGAGCAAGGATTGTCACTTCAATGTCAAATAATTGACCGGCATAAATCTCGCCTAATTTAACATTACATTTGGCTTGTCTATATCAAGCTGATTATGAATTAAGTCATTACAACGGAAGGCTGATTTGTAGAGTAACTGATCCCGTCTTAAGGAAGCGCCTCTCTGTAAATAAAGATAATTCCCGTAAAAAGGTTTGTTATATTCATTACTAGGCAGTCGCCAGCTGAGGAAGCTCTATAGAGTCAAATCGGAAAGTTTACTATAATTTCGAAGGAAACTATAATCTGTACCTCAGAGGTAAAGTGAACTATGTCACAATACGTAGATTTCACAGGAGAACCTGACAAATGATATTTTGTCGAATAATTTGCTCCTGTTCATTTACAGATTCGCAGTGCAACCTCAAATAATTTTTCCACGCCTTTTTTAATTGGAACTAATTGTACACATGAAGCAACGAATTGTCGTTTAAAGTCGATTGTTTTGGAAGGTGACCAAAGCTGTTCAAATATATTATCGCGTTCGGCCTGGCAAACACGTTTTTAGAACATTGGGACCTGCACTTATCTTTACAAGATGGAGCAATTGTTTTTGCCTCAACTAAAGTATTGCGTTTAGAAATATACTGTTTACCAGAAAGGCATTTACGTTTTCTCACTTTACATTTTCATTTAGCTGTACTTCTCTGATGCTTTACGGGTTCTGGCACTTTTTCCTTATTATTATCCGTTGGCACTCTTTTCATATCTAAAGGATTGATCTGTGTTTTCAAAATCAGGATATAGCATTCTCTTATCTGAATTTTCACTTAAAGACAGGCATACTTCACCTTTTACATCGTCAAATGATGAGTTTTACTTTCTTTTAGCTAAAACCGTTCATAAATACTGAAGTATATTGAAATTTTTCTAACTTTCTTCCATCCATCTCACTTTTACTCTCTTTTCATTGATAGCACTCACTTTTCTCACTATTTTCGCTCTCGGTGTACATATTGCAGTTCATGAACAATTTCGCAGGAGCCGTCCTCCTTCTCTCAAGGCCCACGAGATTAAATGAAAAGAATTTATACAAAGTGACATATAAATCCGAACACCCAGTTTAAATGGTTTTATATTAATAAAATTTTGTATAAGTACTTAATGAAGCATAATAAGTAAATGATAAAAATTTCAAAATGATTGCACTGCTTTAAAGCCCTTTGACCTTTAATAATGTGTGGATGCACCCTGATGTGCTACGCATTCTCCAACGCGCCTAGGCATGCTTCTGATCAGGTGGTCAATGTCCTCCTGTGGTATCTCATTCCAGCCAACCACCAACTCCTCTCGAAGTGCTTCTAGAGTCTGAGGAGGACGTTGCAAATTGAGCAATCTCCTACCCATCATATCCCACACGTGCTCAATTGGGGATAAGTCGGGAGATCTTGGTGGCCATGGTAACAATGTGACATCATTATGTTGAAAGAAGTCTATTGTGACTCTTGCAACATGTGGTCGGGCATTATCTTGTTGGAAAGTTGGATCTGCCAGGGTGTCAAGATAGGGTAAAAGATGGGGTTCTAGAACTTCGTGGATATAACGCTGCGCGTTCATGTTACCTCTGATGAAGATTAAAGGTGACTTGGAACCATACGCTATAGCACCCCAAGCCATAACTCCAACAGTGTGATGAACATGTCTTTCAACAAAAAACTGTGGATTCCTCCTTTCACCACGTCGCCTTCTAACCCTGGCACGACCATCGTGCATGCCTAAACAAAATCGAGACTCGTCACTAAAGACAATACTGTTCCATTACTGATCCCAGAGTGACCGTTGTCTGCACCACTCAAGGAGATTACGTCGGTGTTCTCGAGTTAAAGGGAGGACCCAGTGTGGCCGGTATGAAAACAAGCCAAAACTTCTCATTCGTCGGTAAACACTTCGCATGCCAATAGGCCTTCCGTGTTCTGCAAACCATTCATTTGCAATGGACCTGATAGTGGAGAAACGGTCCCTTAAGGCCAATAATTTTAGGCGGCGATCTTCACGGTCTGTTGTTCTACGGCGGCGTCCAGTGCCCCTTGCTCTTTGCGTACGGTCTTCTCGAAGCCATGCCTGACAACACCTAACCACAGTGTCTACACTTCTTTGCACTTTAACTGCAATTGCCCGTAAATAAAGTCCAGCTTCCCGAAGTCCCACTATACGGCCCCTATCAAACTCACTAAGTTGACGAAATCGTACAGGTCTCCGTACTCTAGGCATCGTAACCGATCGTAAAGGATGTCAAGAACCAAAATCCGCCAACGTTGATTCTTTACTGCGGCTGAAATATTCATTTTTAGAGCGTAAGTGAATTAAAAAAAAGCAGTATAAAAACCGGAGTGTCCAACTGATAAGGCTGAAAATTACTTCACTTGTTATTTACAGTAAGATAAATACATTCACCAACTTTTATTAAAATAAAACCATTTAAACTGGGTGTTCGGATTTATATGTCACTTAGTATATTTTATAGAAATTAAGTATATTTAAGTTGTTCGTGTACAGGATTCTCCCCAAGCTGCGCCAATATGTATTACATGAGATTTATGATATAATTACTAAGATTAGTTGAAATCCACGAAAAATTTCATTTCAACTCTGCTAAAAGCACTCTATGCATATGCACTGGTAAAGTTGCTTAGATAGTGTGGCGATTCAGAGTATTTTTGGAGAGACAGAAAATATTAATTTACCCTGAACCGTTTTCATTTTCTCCAGGCTTAATTTGAGCTGGGATTTCCATATAAATTGCATTAATTACTTTTTACAAGCCTTGTACAAGTGAGTATGCTGATATGTTAGTTCGTTAGTATGTATGTGTGGGACAAATCCTGAAACTAAATTTTGAACCAATTAACCTTAAAGATTTGAGCTGAAATTTTGTATGCCTGTCTGGTTCCTGTGACCATACATAATGGATTAACTTAACCACCATTTTGGATTTAATATGGCGTATGCTACATAATGGCGATTCATCATTTCCATCGTACATGATATGGGTATCAAATGAAGGAGCTTGATGAGAGAAATACAATAAGCAAACTAACAGAAAAATTGATAGCTATGATATATTCGAATCACGAGTCATAAAGCACCCTAAATATACTAAGTGACATATAAATCCGAACACCCAGTTTAAATGGTTTTATTTTAATAAAAGTTGGTGAATGTATTTATCTTACTGTAAATAACAAGTGAAAAAATTTTCAGCATTATCAGTTGGACATTCCGGTTTTTATACTGCTTTCTTTTAATTCACTAACGCTCTAAAAATGAATATTTCAGCCGCAGTAAAGAATCAACGTTGGCGGATTTTGGTTCTTGACATCCTTTACGATCGGTTACGATGCCTAGAGTACGGAGACCTGTACGATTTCATCAACTTAGTGAGTTTGATAGTGGGACTTCGGGAAGCTGGACTCTCTTTTCGGGCAATTGCAGTTAGAGTGCAAAGAAGTGTAGACACTGTGGTTAGGTGTTGTCAGGCATGGCTTCGAGAAGGCCGTACGCAAAGAGCAAGGGGCACTGGACGCCGCCGTAGAACAACAGACCGTGAAGATCGCCGCCTAAGGTTATTGGCCTTAAGGGACCATTTCTCCACTACCAGGTCCATTGCAAATGAATGGTTTGCAGAACACGGAAGACCTATTGGCATGCGAAGTGTTTACCGACGAATGAGAAGTTTTGGCTTGTTTTCATACCGGCCACACTGGGTCCTCTCTTCAACTCGAGAACACCGACGTAATCGCCTTGAGTGGTGCAGACAACGGTCACTCTGGGATCAGGAATGGAACAGTATTGTCTTTAGTGACGAGTCTCGATTTTGCACGATGGTCGTGCCAGGGTTAGAAGGCGACGTGGTGAAAGGAGGAATCCACAGTTTTTTGTTGAAAGACATGTTCATCACACTGTTGGAGTTATGATTTGGGGTGCTATAGCTTATGGTTCCAGGTCACCTTTAATCTTCATCAGAGGTAACATGAACGCGCAGCGTTATATCCACGAAGTTCTAGAACCCCATCTTTTACCATATCTTGACACCCTGGCAGATCCAACAAGATAATGCCCGACCACATGTTGCAAGAGTCACAATAGACTTCTTTCAACATAATGATGTCACATTGTTACCATGGCCACCAAGATCTCCCGACTTATCCCCAATTGAGCACGTGTGGGATATGATGGGTAGGAGATTGCTCAATTTG